AAAAATCCGCCCCTGAAAATAATGCCACAGAGTAGATACATAGCACCGTATCTTTCGACGTGGTCCACGTTTCTCTCAACACAAAGTACTGCCGTTCGCTTGTGCAAACAACAAAGATATTGTAATGTATGCACGTATCTGTCAATATTTTGCGCATGTAATTATAAATGTAATTGTAATACAAATTCTTTTACTCAAGTTCACTGATAAAGCTAGAGTTAAATCGGCTTCTTTTACAGAGGTTATACACTTCAAAAACTCAATAATTCATGAGGAAAACACAAAGAAAAATCATAACGTGTCGTATCTTTACATGTGATAGAAATTTCCCTTGATTTACATAAACTTTAACTTTGATTTTCACGACTATTACAGTTTTTGAAAATTACAGTTCGCCAATGAACTTACTAGATCGTTTTTGAAGCAATTTAAAACATTCGCAGTGCGTGTTTTATCAGACTAATTAAAGATACTCGGCTTCGCCTCGTGCCTTTATATCTGATAAAACACTGCTGTTTTAAATAGTACTTAGCACGGCTCAGGCATCGAAATTATAACAATAGGACAATTTCTAAAGGTCTTTTTTTTATACACCCTGGACAGTATACAGCAGTTGCCCAAGCTGGCAGCTACGTTATTTAGATCATTTTCATATAAGAACTTTTAATAGGCAAATAAAGTTTAGTAATGTTATGCTTTAAAATTGCGCACAAAAATGTAATGCGTCTATAGTTGTGAGCCGACAAATATTTTTGCCTTCGACGCACAGCACGCACTAGCTACCATGCTTACCATTACGATCGGTTTTAATTCGGACATACAACAGGATAAACAGTTGATTTGACGTCTACTGTATACGTATTGCGCATGTAATTGTAATATTCAAATTATTTTATTAAAGTTCATAAAGCTAGAGTTAAATCATACTTCTTTTACAGAGCTTATAAAATGTAACATGATCCCATAGGTTCTAGGGTATCATGGTATGACAGGATATTGAAGAGTACTGGACGATAGGCCTTCAAAATCTTTCAAATTTATCGAAATGCAGTGTAACTAGAGTTTTACAAATTCATTCTGTTTCTGCGAACTTGTTTCTCGTATGACAGTTCAACTTGTTTCTCGTATGACAGTGTCATTCATATGACCAATATTTCGTTACAGTATATATCAACAGCCCATTAAAAAGGACTAATTTTCTGCATTCTGTATAACATATTTCGATGCGCGTCGGAAATTTTCTGTCCTCAACAGACAACAGTTTCTCAAAATTTATATAACAGGAATTAACAACATAATTATATTTGTGATTCGTAAATATAGAACTGATCTAATCAGTCTTATCTAAACACAGATGTAACTGAGTAATAATATTAGCAATATGTGTGCCATATTACATATGTCAAATTTTTAAATTGGTTCATTTATGGGCCGTGTTTGAACACAATTCAAAACATTATACCCTGATACTATTATACCAAGTCAAGAAGTCGTTCACTTCAATTGATGCAAAATCGAATGCCGCGCTTGTCGGAATTTTTAGGCTTGTATATCTTCTATTAAATACTGAACTACATTATAACAACATTAGCTGAAATTAGCATGTATTTAGGTAATCCAAAGATACACCACTAGGAAATAAACACACAACTGCACAAAACCTACCACTTTGGGTCTTTTGAAAAGAATGCGACGGTTCAATTGCGCTTGAATAGAAACGCGAAGCGCACCACATAAGCGCACAAAATGCGATGCTCATTAGCATTTTTGGCGGATGCATCATTGCTCACAACAGCAGCGAGACTGGAAGAAGAGGAAGTCTATTTCATATTAATATTTGTCGTCCAATCCTTCTCAAGTTACATAAAAATGTGATGACATGTATGATCTATCACAAGGTCGGAGAAAAAACACGTGTTGGAATGCTTAAAATTAAGGGTTTCTATTCCGGGAATGTAATATTGTTATATAGCCACTTATTTTATAGGAAGAGATTTTGTGATGTGCAAGCACAAATCTCGAGAAATTGTTGGAACCACTGAGTATTTTAATTAAATCCAAACAATTAGAAACTCCGAAAATGGTAATCATTTCGAGAAGTGCTTATTTGACATTTCGTCTCGATTTTAGTCATGATGATCTAATGATTTTAGTCATTTGATGACGACAGTCAGGAATGAAATCTAGTCGAAAACGTCGCCAAGCATTTTTTTCGGGGTTACTCTTATTTTGTCCCTGTTACGGGGTCAAGGTTAAGACAATAGATGTTTGATGAGTGCTCCAATTTTCAACTATGTGTTAACTTAAATAAAATACATGAGAGTGTTGCGAAATAAACTCAAACTGGATCTCAGGATCTGTGCTCGTAGGTAGTGACATTAACACCTGAGTTGCCAATTGAGAGGAATACACCTATCTGAAAAATACAAGTAAAACTTCAAGAAGACCCTTCGTCAGAATTCTACTTGTATTTTTCACGATTTTTCTCCCGATTTTGTGAATCGCAAGGTGCTGACGCGAGCACTCACGACAGGTTATTTACATACAGTGAGCAAAATCGGCCCGACAAATCGCAGCGTGTAAACGTATAAGAGCAGCTCAACGGCAAGGTCGCGTAACCGCTAACTTTCATGCATTCTCACTCCTTGTTTACTAAGTGAGTGCAAAAACGACGTGGATAGCTGGAGAAATTGGAGTAAAAGGATAAATAAGGATGACATCACATCTGCTTTTTGTTTGTTACAAAATGTCGTTTAAAATAAAATATACGTACATACTTTATTGTGTTCCTCAAAGAGGCTTTTCAACACTAATGGCATGGAATGGTGATTAAAAAACAAGGTTAAGATTACGTATATATTAAATTTACTAGGAAAAATCTTCTATTATTAAAATAGTCCATTACTAAGAATACAGTCTGTCTAACATGTCTTGTCGTTGGAAATGAACAACATTACCTAATGTCATGTGGTAACACAGTGTTTACATTTTTGCGACAGAATTTTATTAATTCTGTATATAAAATTAACCAATCATTTATATATTTTGATACACAAAGTTTGTTCCATTATATACTAAGTATGAAAGATAGAAATATTCTGAAAGTATCTTCAAAATATTGCTACGATATACTAAGAACTTTTGACATATTGAATGAGTTAGCCTGAATAAATTATTTGTAAGTTTATATACTGTAATGTCTTTTTTATATTTTATTTTTGGTAACTAATGTATATGTAGGTATTCAATGTACCAATATTGGTATTTGTTTGAATAAAGTTTCTCTTTCTCTGTCTTTCTTTAATTTATTCTTAAAACTTCTCAAAGATGGCATTTGTTTCGTGTTATTGAAAATCGAATACTTATATGCAAAACTAAGCATTTATTTCCACAGACTCCGCGTTTTCCACTTTTAAAAATTCTTAATGCCCCCCATAAAGTGGAAAACGCGGAGTCTGGTTAAAATCGAATATTAAGGAAAACTAAACAATTTTTGACAGACGTTTTCCACTTTATGCCCCCATAAAGTGGAAAACGCGCAGTCTCGTTAAAATCGAATAGGGAAAATAAACAATTTTTTGACAGACTCCGTACTTAAAGTTAAAACATTGTTAAACACTCATCACTGAACATTTATTTTGTTAATCTATCAGGTTGGTGACTCTCATCAACTTCTTCCCCCTTTGACCTTAGTACTGAAGTGGGTTTTTAATTTATTCTAAAACGAATCAGCATGCATCCGTCATCATCGTCAGAAATGAGGAACTGTTTAGTATCGTCCGGTAATTAGATGGGATGAAAAAACCGTAGGGATGTTGTGTTTTTCCAACCAAGCGAAGGAAGATGCCGGCAAGATGGATGCATGTGTGGGGACGTTTTTATGCATAATGTGCGTCATACGTTGTCGTTGGACTTCCTCTGAAAAAAAAAACACTTCCCGTGGCTAGGACAATAAATTAGACTGTGAAAATAGACCAATGCTGAGGTTCCATTGCATGATAAATTGCAGCCTATATGTAGCCTACTGAATTGATTTATTTGCACAGCATTTGAACATGCAAAGCGTTGCCCAAAGAACCGATAATTTCCGCATGGTGATTCGAAAGTGTGCAACTTTCAGAAGCTGAGCGAAACAACATCGGCTCCGTTGCAATAATTCCTCTGAAAATAGCGTTCCTAAAAGGTACGGATAGATGTTTTTTGAACTGATTTTTTTCCACGTCGCTACGAAAGCCGATAGTTATATATTATATTGTGGCTATAAATGTGTAGTATAGTCAATACGTCATTGAGATATTATAAAATGAAACACAAATTATGATTGAATACAGTAGTTGAATACTCCGAGATATCTATTCAACTGCGAATTAACCGAACGTTTTTACTAGCAGTGAGCCTGTCCAACTCTCTGCGGCGAATTTCTGTTCATTACACTTTCCAAAGCGAGCTTCATTGTTTGCAAAAAGTGGTTTCGAAGAACGAAGCAGTTCAGTCAGAATTCGAGCCCGCAGTATAATTGGCTCACGCTGTTGCGGTCACTCTGCCTACTATAGTCATGTATATGTTTTATCGCCATGCAAACTTACAAACAACTTATTCTTGTTCTAGCTTGTTATACGCACGTAAAAACGCACAAGTTGTCAACTTGTCCGTTTTTACTTGTGTATATAGCCTGCGAACAGGCTCTCAAGCTGAATTGAGAGCCTGCATCGATGACTAATGAATTTGAATATCTGCCCCGTAACGTTCGTTTTTCCAAATATGGAATGTCTATCCTTATATGGTGTTGTTTACAACTTTCGTGCAAACCGTAAATTTAGACCGTGCAAACTAAATTTAGACCGTACAGTTTATACTGTTTTTCGAAATATAAGATATTCAAGCAAAAGTTCAAATGTTTTAAATACTGTTTTCTCAAAACAGAACTGATTTCGTGCTTTGAGATAAGATGGCCAAGACCAATTTGATCAGTTAATGTTTTTTTATGCATAGTGCTTCAGCTGTTGACATATATAGAGCTCAGCGGAAACATAAATTATAGCAACTGACCAATGAGAATTTTGCGTCACGATTTGAGACGCAGATATTCAAATTCATTAGTCATCGATGCAGGCTCTCAATTCAGCTTGAGAGCCTGTTCACAGGCTATTGTGTATATGAAGTTGTTATCATTGAACTATAAGTTTACTTATATAGTTCAATGGTTGCTACACAGGTCACAAACAAGTTGTTACAAATCTGTTCACAAGCTGTCGACAAGTTGTGTTCGCACTGCTTGTTACCAGTTGTCATAACAAGTTTGGAACAAGCTGTTTACAATTTGTAGCAATCTTGATGGCATTATCAGACTTGTTACAACTTACAAGGTTCAGCAGGGTTTATTTTAACGTGCAGTTCTATACAAAATGTGCAGTTCTAAACCCATTTGTGCAGTTCTTAAAACCCAAATGTGCAGTCACCAAACTCACAAAAATAGCCTTAATTAAAACAGTTTTCACATTTACTCGTTACCCTTGTGGATGCTCCATTAATTGAGCATCAAAAATATAAACGTTTTTCGGAGGACTGCAGACCCTCCTATTTTCCTCACAAATCACTTACGTGCTGGGGTAATGGAAAAGAAGGTAAAATTGGGGCGAGCGAAGCTCCCCAAAAGAGATTAGAGTGGGAGAACCTAATATTCTTTGCCGTGTCTCAAATGCAAATTTAAGGTTGTTATATATTGAGTATCCATGATTCTCAGTTATATGTTTTGAAACAGTTTTTGTGAGTGGTTGGGTAAAACAAATCATTGCCAGAACTTAAGAGCCTCTAGATTCAAATTATTTTGGGGAACACCCCCTAGCTCCCGCACCCAAAATCGAGTTTGTCTGGCCTTTCTCCAATTCTCCCACCCAACCACACCATTATTCTATCAACTATATGCAGGTAAAAATCCTTCGACCCCCCAGTCAAACACCCATTGCCTTCGTGACATACCTATATGAGCAGTCCTAACTGTTTTTCTTAAAATAAATCCTGCAAGGTTGTTGAACAAGTCTGATACAGTGATGATATTACAAGAATGTTACAAGACTGACGCCACAAGGTTGTAAGACTTGTAACAATACTGTCAGATCATGACTGTATCGGACTTGTTGGAACAACCTTGTAACAAGCCTGGTAACATCAACAAGGTTGTTACAAATTGTTAACAGCTTGTTCCAAACTTGTTGACAACTTGGAACAAGCAGTGCTACAAAAAAAACCATGACCAGCCGACAATTTAAAAAAATAAAGTAAAAAACAAATTCCGAAAATACAGGACATCTTGAGAATTCAATATATAATTCAAAACAAGACGCAGTTTGAGACTGTAAATTTTCGACTTTATTTCAAAGTCATCTTCAGACAGAATGAAATACAATACTTTACAACACATATATATACAACGCAGAGAGAGAGCATCTGTCATGTGGGCGGAAAGAAGGATTATCCAAGCGAAGCGAAACATGATAAAGAAAATAGTAATAACTGAAAATGGAATATTTAGCTATATTTACAACAATGTTTAATATATTAAAAGGATTAAGGTAGAAAGGGAAAGACCCGACATGTAGAAGAAGATTGAGTTAAAGTGTTATGTGAACAGTTGTAGTTCTTTACTAGCTTTAAGTCCAGTGTTAAGAAAAGGTTTGTTGTGTTTGATAAGCAATGCTTCAAGAAAAGCAAGAATGTTGTAGTTGTTAGATTTTGTAATGTGAAGTATTCTGTAGCTGTTGAAAACAAGGTTTTCAATAGGAGAGGAGTTGTCAGAAGGCGAAGGAAGATCGTTGAGTAATGTGAACTGGTCTTGTAAAGTAGCTAAGAATTGAGCATGTTCACACTCAGAAAAATGTTGGCCCACTGCACTAAAAGAGAGCCTAGTTGCATGCTCTTTCAAACGTACAGAAAGGCATCTTTGTGTCATGCCAATATAGGTTTTGCCACAACCAGGGCAAGCGACCTCGTATACAAGATTACTACGAGATAAAGGAGGAAGTTTATCTTTGTTGGAAACAAAATAAGAGAGCTTTTTAGTGTCATAAATAGTGATGAACTTAACCGGTTTAGAAAGAAATCTTTGTATTTTATTAAGACATGATTTTAAAAGAAATTCGCCACGGTTTCCGAGATAAGGAATACGAATCCAAATTTTAGGCAACATATCATCATCCGTGTCATGATTAACGGCATCGAAAGTAGAACTATCAATAAATTTGGTTTTAAGCTTTTTAATCAAAAAGTTTCTAACGCCATTAGGATATAACCATTCCAAGACATAAAAGATTTGATAGTTTCAATTTGATTGTTGAAAAGTGTTTTCGAACTGCAAATTTTAAAAGCTCGGTAGAACAGAGATTTTACCCATGCAGTTTTGCGATGAAAAGGCTCGAAACTTGAAAAATGTGAATACTGACCGGTGTGGGTGTCCTTACGATAAATGTCAGTAACATCAACCGAGACTTTTATGTCTAAAAAATGAACTACGCCATCGGGAAATGTATCAACTGTGAAATTTAAGTTCGGATCGAAACTATTGAACTTAGCTAAAACGGCGGAAATATTGGAAGGTTTTATCAAAACAAGAGTGTCATCAGCGTAACGTTTGTAGAATTTTATAGTACCATCGGCAATCAACTCGGAAACTATTAATCTTTCAAATTCAGTCAAAATTATATTAGCTAAGACAGGCCCTAATGATGAACCCATAGAAACGCCGTCTTTTTGGACATAAATTTGCTCGTCAAAAGAAAAGGCAGTTTTGTTGCAACAATCCAAAATGAGTTTCTTCAAAGTGCGCTTTTTCAAAGTGGTTGCAATTAATTCGTCTTTATAAATACGGTCTAGAACAATTTTGACTGTGCGGGAAAGTGGAACGTTGGTAAAAAGGGATTCAACATCGAAAGAAACGAACTGGTAGCCTTCTTGAAACAAATGTTTGGGAATGTTGTTAATATTGGTCACCGCATCAAAAGAATCAGAAAGACACATGACAGATGCTCTCTCTCTGCGTTGTATATATATGTGTTGTAAAGTATTGTATTTCATTCTGTCCGAAGATGACTTTGAAATAAAGTCGAAAATTTACAGTCTCAAACTGCGTCTTGTTTTGAATTATATATTGAATTCTCAAGATGTCCTGTATTTTCAGTGCTACAAGATGTGAGATTTTTACGTGTGTAGTACTGTGTATTGTGATATGGCGAAACTAATTTCATCTTAAAATGTAACTTCACTAACACATTGAGCTCAGTGTGTCAGTGGTACGAAATGCCTGCAACACCCGAAAATCTGCCGATCTGCGGGCTTGCAAAAACAAAACAAAGCGAAACAAGAGTAAAATGGCGACGTGTTCAACATTTAGTTGGGATAGATTGTTCATTCGGGCCCTTCATGTCTCTTTAACGACTTTTGTTATAACCGTTCTTATTCTTAAAGATACCGGTGAGTCTTGTAATCGATCCAACAGTAAATACGATCTTTTTGACAAGTTGTGATGGCGAAAAGTCAACAGCTTTTCAAGTTTCAACTTTTTAAATAGAACATATCTTCACTTCTAAAGAATCTTGTTGGTAGGATAATAGCTAGTTCATGTGCATTTCACCTCTGTGGCCGAGGTTTGATTTTTGTATTGGTTTTGTCCTACTGGACTCATCCCATATTTAATAGTTCAGTAAAAGCTAAACTAACTTTATACTACAGTATGTTCATTAATTCTAGAGGTCAAGTGAAGTCTATCATCTATAATTTTGGCTAGTATTTGCCCTGTGTACTTTGACTGTTGTGACATAATGACTTTGCCTTTATAAGTACTAACCCTTTAAATGGCAATGTGCCCAGATGCACCCTACTTTATAATTTTACTCTGTCTAATGCCAGACAATTTTACTCTTCAAGATTGAAGAGTGTTACCACTCAATAAGTTACATAAATTGCTCTCCCTAGGACAGTTTAGAAGCAAGGGTGGATTTTCATTCTTTTAAAGGAGGGGTGGAAAAATTTCCAATGGGATGTAAGCGGCACCATTGAGCGAGCTTTGGCCATGGTTAGGTATTAGGGTTAAAGACTTTCACACAAAATAGGAGGGGTGAAGAAAAATTTTGGTGGGGTTGAACACTTTATAGGAGGGGTTAGAGAGATTCTAGGGGGATTACCCCCCCCCCCAGTAAATCTACCCATGTTTAGAAGTGATAGAACTATGGAGTACGCTTGTACAGTATACATAAAGTTAGTTTAATCAATGTTGTGTCAATATTTGGTTACAATTTTTCTGTAGAGCTTCGCAAATCCTTGATGCTACTGCAGTGGTATTATCTTCTACCTTATTTTTTCATTCTGACCTCTTCAACTTTGTTTTACTTCATTGCTGGTTCTGTTGATCCTGGCTTTGTTGCCAACGATACTGATAATGTCATCATGGTCGCTTACGAGGTAGAATTTTTGTTTTTAGTTGGAATTTTGGAAATTGGAAATTATCATTAAAATCTAAATGAAAGAAATTGCCTTAATGAGTTGACTGGGTAGATTGTTGCATGAATAATCAATAATTTCAGATTGTGGCACACTGGCACAATCATTCATCAATGTTTATTTTTAAAGGTCTTTTCCGAGAGTTTTGTAAGTGATTTTTCTCCATTTAGCATCTGTCACATCTGATCAAACAATTATAGTGTGCTTTTCTTCTGCAGAAAACCAAAGAGGACCTCACAGAAGAAGGCGAACCTCTAATTTCCGAAAGTTGCGAAGTGGTTGCAGCTCCACCATTTCAAAGCATGCCAAAGCTACGCCGATGTGGTTATTGCAACATTGTGCAACCACTGAGAGCAAAGCACTGTGAAGATTGTAACCGCTGCATTCATCGATATGATCACCACTGTCCATGGTTGGGAAATTGTGTTGGCGAGAGGAACCACAGATTCTTTTGGGCATTTCTGTTGTTTGAGACCATCCTAATTGGCTGGTCTATTGAAATAGGATGGTAAGTATACACAAGATAAAGGATCAACTACCTGAAAAATATTAGGACATGTATGTTGACCTTTACTAGCAAAGACCTTTTGTCTGGAAAGACCTTTGTCCACTGACCTATCCAAGCTACTGTAGTGCCTTCATGTCAAGCTTTGATGCATTTTTTATTTTTCAGGTTTAGCACTGTTGCATCTTTCAACAATACCGAAGATATTAATTAAGCAGAACTTAACTCCACCCAAATAGCTCTCTAAATACATATGCATGTATGCTCACTGCTCAAAATGTTTCATAATATACCATGCCATGCAAAAGCAATCGTGTAAAATCATAGAAATGTGTAAATCATAAAACTTCTACAGTGTTATATTGGTTGTGTGTGTTGCCACATGCATTGGTCTTCAAAGAAGCAATTTCAGCAAAATTGTTTTGCTGTTCAGGATATGGTGTCAAGATTCAAACATGAAAAGTGTAACATCAATAAAATCCTTACAAATTGCATATAGTATTTACCCTTTAAGTGGCAATGTGGCCCAATGCACACTACTTTGTTATTTGCCTCTGTCTAACACCAGACGATTTTACTCGTCAAGGGGAGAGTGCTGTCACTCAATGGATTAGCAGATCCGCACTATCTAAAAAGTCAATCTCATCCCTATAACCAAAATGTGACCGGTCACTATGTCGATCGGTTGTTATTTTGAGCCCATGTACATGCTTCAAAATAAAGGCCCATAATTTCCACTCACAAAAATTTTCCGCAGAAAGGAAATTTTGTAAATGTGACTGTACGAAAATTTTCAACTTTTAACAATGACATTTTCGGGAATTTTTCTTGAGTGGAAATGGCTTTGTGACTAGAAAAAATATACTAGTAGCACATTTTGATACAAACATGTTTGCCTTAACAGGTATGGATTTCAAAGTAAAAAGGTGTGGTCAGAATGGGCATATACAAATGGCATATTATTCCTTGTTATGGTGATATTAGTCATATCTGTGATTGTCGTTGGCTTGTTATTTGGTTGTCATTCGTACTTGATTGTGATCGGTCGAACAACATGGGAGCACATGGCTCACTCGAGAATCTCGTATCTCAAGATCTTCAAAGAGGGGGTGAATCCATTCCACGAGGGATATTTCAAAAATGTTTGCACGTTTCTGTGTCATTGTCGTGTACGCAAATGGGAAAAGGTCTTCCAAAGAAGTAGTATTAATTTAGGAGTGTGAGATTACTGTGACTGTCATTTTCAAAATTTGGAAAACTCTGAGAGCCCTAATAGCCATCTAATAAATGGTGGTCAACCTGCAATTATCAGAGCCCATCAGATAAATTAATTGATAGTAAATAAATGGAATGTAGTGTAATATTACATTATTGCTCTTTAATGGACAACATTTAGTTTCATATGCATAAGTAGTATATGTAATGCATGAAAGATATGTTACTTTTAAAGTATATGTTACATCTATATTATATATACAAGTATTTATTGTGTGTTTAAATCCTGGAATAAACACACTAAACCTATGCTCTAATAAAATATTTTGTGAAAATATATGATCAACGGGCCTAAGAAGTGCTTTATACGTCACGTAATTTTCAAAGAATGAATTATTGACCCCAAGGTATCCCACAATGCACTGTGCATTCCAGACGTCCTCTGTATTCAAAATTGCGTGACGTAAGCACTTCTAACCTCTACAGTGTGCAAGGAAAAAAACTGAACTCTTTCAAATTAGCTATAACGTATTGTAGTAATCTGACAGCTCTAATTGCTTTGAATTAATGGTTGGGTAAGAACACAAACCAAGGTCTTGTACTCATGGGACAAAACTCAAAGAAATAAAAATTAGAAAATTTAAAAGAAATACACTATTTCTTTTAAATTTTTATTTCTTTGAGTTTTGTCCCATGAGTACAAGACCTTGTGTTCTTACCCAACCATTAATTCAAAGCAATTAGAGCTGTATACTCACACTGTGTGTAGCTTAAAATTTATGTACAATGTACATTATGATTTACAAGTTTTGTGAATACATGATCACGTGCGCAAATTTGCTAAAAACGTCTACACTCTACAGTTTGATTCACTAAATGTTAGATAGTGCTCAACAGCGAAAAAGGTCAACAGTAGGTTGGCAGTGGCTCATCTAGGGTAGCCTTAAGCCCAGGGATGCCGGAACCGGGGGGCAGGAGGGGCAGCCGCCCCCGTTACCCTTTAACAGGAGGGGCAAGGGGGGCAAAGGTGCCCTTTCAATTTAAAGGATTACCTTAGCGAAATAGCGAATTGTCAGAAATGTTAGTGCAATTCTTTTACGAATATGCTTCAGAAAACGCAAGAAATGCAGTCATCGAGCTTCAAGAATAGCACAATCGCCTGGCGGAGAACCCCCTCACACCCCTATCATCCAATAAATAGAAAACATGATTAGGCGAAGTTCAACAAAACCGATGTTTTGCAAACATCTCTTAGTATATATCAATTCAAAAGTGCCCTTTCACGAAAATCTGCCCCCCTTGCCTTCACATCGTTCCGGCGCCCCTGCTTAAGCCCCGTTTACACTACGCTCAATTTTTGGTACGGCACGGATAAAATTGGTACCCATACCACTTTTTTGGTTCTTGGACTACCTATTTAGGTACTACCTATTTAGGTAGTCCAAGAACCAAGAAAGTGGTACGGTACCAAAAATCGAGCGTGGTGTAAACGGGGCTTTAATTCTCTCGCCTGAAGAGTAGAAGAGAAGAAAAACCCATCCCGAAACCATTTCCCGGTGGCTAGCCTGCGTTACAGAATATAGACCTTACAGAAGGACCCAACAACATCACAAACGTCGCTTGCTTAAGCCTGGGTCACACTGGTAATAGACTTAGTTTGATCATCTGATTACCAATTTCCCGTGCAAAATGACTGAAAAACGGCAAACTTCGCAAGGCTATATTATCTGCATTTTGCAACATTTGGAATATTACTAATTTTGTGATGCTCTTTCAAGCTGTGATGGAATTTTTGTCTAGATTAAAATTTAGTCTATAAATATAATGCAAATGGTCCATTCTGTCGGCGATTTTTCTCTTCCTGGCAAATAATGTGATCGAATGAGTGACATGCAAAAGACTTAGAATTGTTTACTTCTGAAGAGCGACTTTTGTGTGCGAGTTTTGCATCTGTCAGAAACACAACATCGCCGACAAAATTGCCAGTGTGAACCAGGCTTTTGAAGCTCACTAGTAGCTCATCAGGAACGCTTTGAAGTTTACCAAGCTTCCAGACCATGTCTCGATTCACTGACACGTTCACACCGAGATCTCCGATTTTATTGCGGAACTTTGTGCACGCCGAACAAATGTTCAGTGAACAATCTTTGCAGAGATTTGCTCCACAAAAAAATTTCATCGAATTTCCATTTCCCAGCAAGATTTTCGCCATTCTTAGAAAATTTAAACGCCTCCCGCATAAAGCGCATTCTGTCTTTAGGTTGGTTTTCCGAACATCGGAAACAACAAATCGACTTGACCAAGTTGAGCTGCACCTCGCGATAATGTGTGGGTTTGCGCTCTGATTGTTCAATGGCCATTATACTAGAGTTGGCCTGCTTCACACAGTTGTCGTCTACATGTTCAGCGACCAACTCTCCAGAAAGGTTACAGCCGAGATAAAACGTCGCAAGGGTAATATGGGCCTTGTACTCCAGGTCTGCGCGTACCTCGGGACAATCCGACATAACTTGTTGGAGGTGTTGCAGAGCGTTACGCGAGAGCACATCAGGAGGAGACAAACATGGATCATTAATACGGTCCGTCATCGTTCCTGCAAATAAAAATACTAGCACTGTGACTAAGCCTGGTACAAGGCATTCTGACTTCTCCAAAGCACTAACCAATAGATCTCGAATGCGGTTGAGTGTTTCGCCTTCGTCGCCTTTGGGGCGATTATACGCAGCCTCGACATATAGACCGAGCACTTCAAAGATATGATGCTCTGTAGCATTTCGTAGAAGGTCTCTGTACTTCTTAAGAAAACTATTTGCTGTTTTAAAATTATGTCTTCGGGAACGCAAAATTATTTTTTTCAACAACACCACCAATTTAAGCTCGACAATATTTGGAAATCTTTCTTCTATTTCCTTCGACATTTCTTGAAATCCTCTGAAGTCCCCATTATTTAAACAAAGCGTAAGAATACAAAATGCTCGAGTACAAAGTTTTTGAGTCTCTTTTGAAATCCATGTAATGCTGCTGCCAATTGCACGGGGGACCAACTCAACCTCGACAGGTCCCAAAATTCTCTTCTTGAAATTAGCAAACGACATCTTCTCAACTTTCCCCTTCACCATTTCATAACATTCTGGTTCTTCAGTGAACACACCACCAAGACAAGCAGCGATATAAATCACGATCACATAGGTTGATGGAATAGGCTTGGAGTTTTCATCTACCACTGGCTCGAAGAAAATATCCCAGTGTTCTCCTCGTTTGGGTTGACCGATATGCTCAGGCCATATCATCTTCTTAATGGCTTTCTCGACTTTCTTTATTATTTCAATGATGTCTTCATTCGGGATCTTCTCTCCAGCAACAACGCCATCGTCTGTGATACCATAATAAATGTGACCTCCGTTATGGTTGGCAAACGCAGAGACGTAAGCAATTAATTTGTTATTTATCATGCGCTGTACCAACTTGGTGCAAATTTTAGCTCCTGCTTCCAATAACTTAAGTTGAGTTTGCTTGTCTTCCCTAAAATTACAAAACGCGTGTCTTACAAAGGATTTGTGATGTGAACCGAGCTGGACTGGTTGATCAACGTGCTGCCTGTTCAAGATATTGTCCTTGATATTTTCTGTGGGAGAAACTGAAAGTACTTGTGTTGTACTTGGTAAATACAAGTTGTAATGAGTTGTGATGAAAGACTCACTTTTCTTAACTGTGCACACGACATTATTGCAAATGATTTTTGCGTCTAAATTGAAAACAGTCATTTGCGTTCCAACGATATTTGTACACAATTGTTCGACGATTCGAATGATTGTATTATGTTTTGCGGTATTCTTTTGCACTTCATTAAAACTGAACTTAATTTCTCCACCACTGCCGTTCATCAGCGCACAAAGGTAAGCAACTATTTCCTTGAGCACTCGTTCTTTGTACTTTTTATCAGAGAGAAATTCCCCTAAGTCGATGTAAAGCTCCAAGGTATCCATGCGATGTCTTCCGAAAGACGTTTAACAACGCCAGGCCCTATACAATGTTAAGAGAAAACTCGCATGTAAGAACCTATCGATAGTTCATGAGCATTTCGTGAGAAAAAGGAAATTTTCTTTGAAAACGGAAGTTTTGTTTCAAGTGGAGAACTGTTTTTTCGCTTTCTTAAAAGGTATTACTTTATACCAGCAAGGCATATTTTAACCTATATACTGCGGGAGGGCATTTGGTCCTGCAAGGCCTCACTAATTAGTGACTCAGACTGGGCCCTAACCTTACCCGGAGTGACCAAAACCACACTGGGTCCAAGTCTTGACCAGGGGCGTAGGAAGCATAAAAAGTTGGGG